AATTTCAGATCATATGATCAAATACTGCAGAGTAGTCGACTCACACGACTTTTCGAACAAACATGTTTCACTCATCGCGTCATCGATCTGTCGTCATCACATCAATCATCATTTCTCACTACCCATACCCTCGACCATCCAGAGCAAACATCCAATCGACCCGACGCAACAATTATATCAATTATTGCACCTAATGGTCTGAGCAATAGAAAATGCGCTTGAAATCTCCTTTGGCTCACTGCTCTATGATATTAAATCTTCGATTTTCGACAGCCATCTTTCTGTGTTTCCATACCATCATCATGTTTCCAAAAGGCAGTTGCTTGGCATTCCAAAAACATATTGGAAGTGCAACAAGACAAATCAGACGAAACGCTATTCAACGGCAACAACAACAACAACAACAACAGAATCGCCACAATGGATTCTTGCCCACATTCGCTTCGCCTTCCCTGCTCTTGAAGAGAGTTCCCCATCCACCAGCTGGAACGACGACAACATCATGGCAATTGCATCAATCATTCACAACAGCAAATGACGGAGACTCTGGTGAGAATTCTACCCAAAACCCAATATCCTTGAACATGGAAAATTTGTACCGTGAATGGACCTTGGAGCAAGATAAACTGCTGTGGGAGAACAAGGACTCCAAATCGATCATTGAATTGGCATCTTTGCTTGGAAGAGGATTGAATGGTGTGCAAGCCAGACTCAGCAAACTGCAAGACCTTTCCAGCCCTGCATATGAACGTCTCTTTGTCACTGGACGCAATGGACAGAACTATTCAAACAAGATTGGCGACGACAGTGCCGACAACGATTCAACTGGAAAACAAAAGTTGGTTCCAGCAGGGGAGGTCTTGCGACGAATTGAATACGACTACCGATTACAGGAGGAATCTTCCAACTTTTTCGTTTTGCATTATGACCGTGTCGACGATGTTGTTGTGGAATCTCCTCTGAATGCGCCCAACGATAGCATTCAGGGGTCCGCCACCATGCTGGTCAAAGCTTTGCCGGAACACCGAATAGTCGGCATCAAGTACAAGGAACGAATTGTCTGGGACCGTGCAGAACGGCTGGATTTGGTCTTTGGCAACGGTGACGAGGGAGGCGGAATCTACCACATTATTGACACATATGGCGATTGGAAGGCAGAACAGGATAGGGTAGTGGAATGGAATCGACAACGACAAAAGTTCATTGCCCAGCGCATTCAGCACATACTGGGCGCGGCATACTACAAGTCCCTCCAGCAGCAGTCATCCGATATCAAAAAAGCCTTTGGTGACGATACCATTTCAATCAAGTCCATGGTGGAAGCCTACGTCCAAAGTGTCTTGAGTATCTTTCGGAGCCGGCGACGTGAATGTGAGTCGTCGGACACGCCGACCACAGGAGGTGAAATGCAAGGTGAAGAGCCTTTTGACATTCCACAGACTGATTTTGAAGCACTAGAAGAATTCTCCGAGCTCGTTGCTGTCTTGCCAGACCCTGATCTACGGTCCCTCTTGTTGACGGAGATTTCACTGGTGATGGATCGGTTGGAGGGCAAAGGGTCAAAAAAGAATGGTGGTACTGCGGGTGCTGGTCGTAGAGAACCGCTTGTGTTGTTGGAAGAAGAACTCTCCGAACGCTTTGTCCGCGGCAGTGGTGCGGGAGGCCAAAAGATCAACAAGACGTCCAATCGCGTCGTGTTGGTCCACGAACCAACCCAACTCAAGGTGGAATGTCAGGACACACGAAGTCTCTCCCAGAATCGCAAGATTGCACGAAAACGCTTATTGGAAAAATTGGACGAGCACTTTCACGGAAAGCAATCCAAAATCGGTTGGAAGAATCAAAAGGCAGTCCAAAAGCGACAAAAGAGCAAGACCAAAAATCGGGCCCGTCAACGCAAGAAACAACTTGAGAAGCAAGACGAGAATGGAGACGAAATATAGCACTCCATTAAAATATATTATCCATATTTTAATTTCTAAGATATAAAACCTAGTGTATTGCAAGCAAAGATGAGATATACTACCTCAGGGAGCAGTACACAGTTGTGTCTCAACTACCTACAGTACAGTACAATACATACCGATCTTACCTTGACCAAAGGACTTCTCCGACTACAACCGACCAAAATATTTGGTCATATCGGACTGTTGCCATAATATATGTGAGTACTCTCCTGAACACATGGCAACAGCACCTCATTAGACGGACATTAGAGCCTGCTGCTCCACTACTATATAGAAAGAAAGCAAATATAGCACATAATCATGGATGCTTCGCAATTGCGTTTGCGACGAAATGTTCCTAGTGGAGGCGTGCTGCTTCCACTCCACAGTGCCCCGTCCTCGAGTAGTCTTCCCACAACCAGTGGGATTGCAGAAAAGAGCCGAAAGCGACTGCGAAAACGAACTCGACTCAAAGTGTGGTGTACATTATTTCTAAAAGGAATGTGTGCGACTATTGTATCTGGGTCTTTGTCGTTGATGCTGCTTCCATTTTCCTGGACACAAGGTACGTTGTGGTTGTTGATTGTTGATTGTCAATGAATTGTTCCATCATAGCACCTTTTGTTAGCTAACCATTCATTCATTCACTTATTCATTTATTCATTCCTGTCTTTTTTTTTCCTTTCTTCGTTTTTGAAAGTCGACTTTCACCACCAAGTCCAACACGAAATGCAATATCTTTATCACAAACTCGAACAGAACCGCAAAAACAAGGCCACTGGAATTCGTGGCAAACATGGATCCTCCCGTCAAGTAGTCTGTCCCAATGGTGTTACAGGATTTGAAAATGATGATTATTGCGACTGCGCCGATGGAAGTGATGAACCAGCAACCTCGGCGTGTTCCCATTTGGTCATTCAACAGGAGATGTTTGCGTGCAAGTCCGATCCTTCCAAACGGATATACGCTTCGAGGGTCCATGATGGTGTCAAGGATTGTCCGGATGGGAGTGATGAGACGTAATGGAATGAATCATCATTGTCAGGAATGAGTGAGGTAATGAATGCTAAGGAGGATAATATTGCATTTCTCAGGTATGCGACCAACATGGGTACTGTAAATCCTTCGATGTTGCAAAATACAAACCGCTTCAACCATGGTTAGTTTGGGAAGATGGTGTTCCTGGTCAATGTTGGGGTCGTAATGACTTGATTCCGACTCTATTATTATCCAAAGAGGAATCAATCGCCTGGTTTACTTGTAGCGATGAAGTAGGAGGATTGCTGCGATACGACACCGTGAGATATTCAAGTACCTGAATGAATGAATGAATGAATGAACCAATCATCCATTACGAATGGTCTGTAGCCCGGAGCAGTGTCACAATTTACTGCACCATTGCTTGAATGAAGGAGTCTGTATAGTAGTGCTTCAATGCTTCTAAGGTGTTCAAGGGGTAGGGATTGTTGTAACAATCCCTTTCTAATCTGCACCGCTGATCCAAGCCAAGCCATGAGTATGAGATGACTTTGATAAAGACGGACATAAGACAATAAGTGCTTGACAGTTCGGAGCATTCATTCTATTGTAATATCCTCTATATTCATACTCTATTCCATTTCCGCTGTATATTCTATGCCTGCCGCATCCATGACTTCTTCCAATTGTTCTTTTAATCTCGAAGCTTGTTCCATATTCCCCAAATCCAACTGTTCATTCATTTGGACTCGCAATTCTTCCAATTTGGCAAATGCCAGACTATCATCTTGCTGTCCTGCCACTTCGACAAAATCCAATTTGGGCAATTGCAACCAGGGCAACGGGTCCCTCTTTTCATCTCCTCCTTGCTTTGGCGGTTGTCGAAATCCCGACTTGTTGTACCCCGCTCCATCCTTCAAAAAGGCTCCCAACCCTTGATCACCCTCGAGCATTTGATTGATAAAGGTCTGGGCAGCGACACCAATGCATATGGCTACCAATGCTACCAAGAATGGAGTACTGTTCAAAGTAGTAAATTCAAGTGCATCACTATCCGAAATTTCCGAAATGGAGAATGATGAATCATCGAATAATGATCGTTGTGTGCTGGAAGTGGAGGGTGTGGTGGTGGTGGTTGGTCGAGGAGGAATTGCAAAAGATATCCTTGTTCTACTACTGCTAGTGGATATACGTGTACGTGTAGGTGTACTTGTACTTGTACTGATCCAAGCATGAGATGCACCATTATTGGTGACGATGATCCAGAAATAACACGTGGAAAGAGAAGAGCATATTGACCGCCGCATTATTACGGTATGTTGACAGGTGTGTCACGGATTTACCTCTATCACAATAAAAAAGATTTGCCAAGGTCTCCTTCTCTCTTATTCTCTATTGCACCGAAAGCGCGAGCATGTCAATTTTAATGTCATTCTGATCTTCTTGGAGGGCCAGATAGGGTTTCCGTCCGCCAATGATGTCATTGCATGATCAGGCAAGACGGTAGACGGACTGGCACGAGAAGATATCTGTCTTCACGCCAACAGTCATGTTGTCAGTCGCTTAAGCGAAGTAACGGTAATTATTGGACGAAATTTCGGGGACGATCGGCATGGCAAACGAAGGCGTGGCAGAAACATTCTTTTTGCCAAGTGCAAGATGAGACGATGAAGAGCTAAGGAACCATGATCTTCTGAAGCAATTCAGAATGATTATATCCACACCTCTTACTTACGTACCGTATGGAGGACTGGCATAATCCCGTTTGGTACAATTCGTAGTATGCAATCATCCTAGGCCAATCACGCTAAACATCGAGTCATGAAGTGGAGGCGGCGCCTGTAGGGGGTTTTGGCCGATAGGCTCTTGTTCGATAGATCTGATTGGTCGAAATGTGTCTTTCTTTTGCACATGCCATGCCGTGTGCTCTAATAAATTAGCCGTCATTTACACGACATTCGTCTTTCCCAATGTCGCACAGTTCCCAATTGATGGCATCTCTACATTTCACCTTGAAGCCCTCGACAATTGCATATTAGCAGCCCCCCCCTTTACTTCATCATCAAAGATTCCAACATGCCTTCTGAAATTCTACTAGAAGAAGCCGAAAATATCATGGCAGCAGCAAACCAACAGCTGGCACAGAACACTGCTGATCCGGGGTTCGAAAGGTGGAAACTCAGCATTGAAAAGGATCGGCTCCAACGACAACAACATCAGCAACATCAACAGCAATTGTTGGCACAGCAAGTTGGAAGGTTTGTTGGATACTTTCCTTCATACACCGATATGGGAATCCAATCGCAAAACTGCAATGGCAGCATCAAAGCTGCCAAGAAAAGAGGCACCAAGATCAAGCGCCCAAAGCAGCAACTTTCTCGAAGGCAAGTTGGAGGGAGCCTTCCTTTTCTTCCTACATTCCATTGCAGACGATGCCATATCAAGAAATTTCTTGGACCAGAGGCATTAGCAAAATATAAGGCAGGCCACCATGATCTCTGTGAGGGGAGGACAAAGAGAAAAACAACGCCGCAATCCAACACTATGTTGGACTATACAACAAATGTTCATCGTGAAAATGCTGCACCTCAGAGGAAAAAGAAAGAGCCACCAATCAACATTATTGCTGGAAGTGTGGGCTACAATACACAGCAACTTAATTCAATGGGTATTGACAGCGACTTTGTAACGGATATGAAGCAGAGCATTGATGAAAGAATGGATGAGTTGGAGCGCAACAAAAAGCCATCTTGGGCCTTGGGTCGACAAGCACCACCAAGAGTGATTCTTGCAACTGATCTAATTATTTCTCAGTTTGAGCACCGGCGCCCCCAGTCTGCTGACTCTGTCCTTCCGCAAACTAAAGCTTTTCGTACTGCAATGACAGCATACAATGCATACTTTCCGCTTGGGAGCACATCCTTTATATTTCCGCAAGACACAAGCTACAGTCCAAGCCCAACCTATCATTGCCTTTCAGGGGACGAAATCCTACATGTTGACTGGCAGCTTGCTTTTCCAAACCTCCGTTTGCCATGTCCAAAGTGCTCCCGCGGTTCTTTGGTCCATACTCAAAGGAATTTCAAAAAGAATCCAGGAAGTCTATTTCCAATTTGGAGACATGATGGTGCCATCACATGGGCGGTTATCATGAAATATATATGTCTTTCTTGCAAGGAGCTAGTTGATGCAAACGAAGGTCGACTGCTACAAATGCTGCCAGCTCATGTTGCTACAGCCTACCCTGTTCCACCAAGGTATGCCACAAGTGAAGGCGGATTTCACCTCCACAAAAATGGAATTGCTTTTTTTGAGCACATCCTCAAGACCTATGCAAATGGCGAGCAGTGCAGTCTTTTCCTGGTTCGTGCTATGGCAAATAGATATCTGGAAAAGGCGAGAACTTATTTGAGCCAGAAGCCAAGCCAACCTTTTCCAGACTTCTACAGTTACATGAATAACAAGTGGCCGCCTAATGGCGACAATATTCGGCGGCTCTACCAACAGGCAGAATATTCTTCACTGCAACCCTACAGTTATTCTAATGTCTTACGCTACACTCAAGAGATTCGGTCTGTTAGATTTGAACGCGGTGATACAGCAGCTTTTGATCACACCTTTGCCGCGACAAGGGCATATAGAGACAAAAAAACGATTGGCATGAAGTGTTTTGCAGATTTCAACAATGGAAGAACTGGTGAAATTGGTGGGATCTACGCTGTTCCAACGACAAAGTTGAGTGATGTATCCCATGGATTGACACAAGCAGCGCCTCGACTGAAGAATGTATCGGTACTGACAACCGACACAATACCGCATGGAGTTCAATTTTGGGATGCAACTCTTGGGAAGGGAGTCAAGTGCCGCCTTGGGCTGTTTCACTTTCTGGGCCGTATGGTTGACACCCTTGATTCAAAGAGTGAACATTTCTGGCCTTGTCTTGTTCAGTTGAAAGATTGTATTTACAACTACAACAAAGATGATTGGGCAGCACTTGTTGGGGCAGTGACCAATGGTTTGCTTGGAGAAAAGTTGTCAGTGGATGAGCTAACTGACATGCGTTTTTCCAAGGTGTTCAAGCAACGGTATGACAAGTGGTTAAGAAAGGAGTTCCATTTGGCAGAAAAGATCATTGAAAATTTGAAAGACTGGCTGAAAGCATGGATTGATGTCAGTGACGATAGCGATCGAAAGGTCTTCACCTACAAGACAGAGGACACAACCAGAGAACAGTTTTTAAAGGTTCCATACGTATTGGATCATGAAGGTGCAGCCACTTACCGGGGAGTGAAGTCAAGTGCGGAGCATGGGCTGACCGAATGGAGAAGCTCAAGAGCTGAGTCAAGCTTGGAGAAGTTTCATGAATTATTGGCCCATTTTGCAAATATTGGTTGCAAATCGGAGTTTGCAAATGCTCTCATTGCCCGAGGTACGGCTGAGCACAATGTCAGTGCGAGGTGGAGATATGACTGCATGGTGCAACGCCAAAAAGGTTCTAATTTACAGCATCCAGAATACATGGACCGAACGCCCATTTTCATGGACCATTCCCTACTAGATCATTTGAATCAACAATCTACATCGCTTGGTTTTGGTGCCTTGTTCAAAGAGTGCCGAGTTCCAGAGGTTGGAAATGAGAAGGAAGTTTTCTTTTCCGATTACTGCACCGACCAGATGGAAAGAAACAAACAGGAGGGAGTTGTTGCTTCAACTAAGGTTTGTCTTTGCGATGACTGCAAGGACAAGTACGAATCGCCTCAAACAACAAGTGTTGCCAGGAGGAGGAGTGGTATTGCCCGAGTGGTCGATCGTTCAGCTGCACAGCCTTTACCCCAGCAGACTATGCAACAACAAGCAGCAGATCGCAGTGCATTCCTGCAATGCCAAGCCATTGCACCCCCTATGCTTCCAACCAATCCAACTTTCAACCCTGTTCATGCTGCAACGGCCAGTGGTTTTTTGACTCCAAATCAATTTGCCTTGACTCCAAATCCATTTGCCTTTTTCACAAATCAATCTGCACAATATAACCGGACTGTTTGCAAGTCCAGATGCTTTCCGAATTACCCTTTCAATTGCACAAGATTTGCAGGGTACCTTGAGCGATCCAAGTCCGGTTCAGTGTTCGGTAGACCACCTCACGATCAATGGTGCCCAAAGGGGCAGGGTTACAAGTATTGGGAGAATTAAAATGCTAGATGCAGTATCGAAATCATTGATTTGTTGTAGTAGTAGCACTATTAGTATTTGCTCCATCCGCGTTTTCCTTGTGTTCAATTATTCTACTATGGACTGACAACCATTCTATGTTCGTACATCATTGGTCTTTTGGAGAACTGGAGAGAAGTTTCAAGGGTATAGCTTGCAAGATTTCTGATTGGCTGAGCTACTTCACGCATTCAACTTTGTTTTGTTCCATGTAGTCAAAATTATATTGAATTGGAAGTTCAAGAAAAACAGATGATTGGCCAATCAAGCTTTGTTGCGAGTCTTGCAGAATGTCTTTTGCGTATATAAAAAGACATGTCTTATCAACAGAACCCCCCTGTCAACCCCGTGCTAAATTTATTATTTCTCTATGTTTTCTTGATCGTCCCCCTAATAAGCATCCATTCGTTTTTCTACAGTCACGAAGGATTGAATATGATATGAGAACACGAGGTGGAAAACGGAATCTCCCCTCTTCTTTTTTTCCCTCTCCTTTTTCCTTTTTTTCTTTACCCCCAAGATAGCCACCTAAACCCCCCAAATTTTC